GTTTAGTGGTCAAATGCCTTAGATACTATGCCACCAGGGCTCCCTTAAGGAATCGCCATACTGTTTTCCACAATGGTGGTGTTCTGGTTGCCTAGTGACACTCTGACAGAAATATACCACAAATGGGATGGCCTTAACAGACAGGAGTTTATTCTTACAATTTGGAGGCTTCAAGTCCAAGTTCAAAGTGGCAAGCTCTTGGACCTGGGTGAAAGCCCCTTAACCTTGGGGTCCAGCTCTGCCTCCTGCTCCCGGCCCACTGAAGCTAGAGGTGTTTCTTCACTCAGACAGCTGCTGGCTGCTGAGGCTCAGAAGCCCCAAGGTTGACAAGTCAAAAGGCACAGTCCCGATATTACCAAACCACACAGCAGGCCATTAACTTAAGTCCATTGTAAGTCCTAAAGTCAGCAGAGCATAGCAGGCTGCTGAGCACTGACATGGCTACATGCAGGGTCCAAGCGTGCCATAGGCTAGAGACCATTTCCAAGGCTTCTCCTTAAATACAGGAAGCAGACTACATCCCAAAGGCAGCTACTCAGCTGCTTGTGCTAGATCCCACAATGAAGTTGATTGCCAGTCTCATCATGGGGAATAACTACCACCAGCTGCCCAGTCACTCAACCAGGCCCAGCCAAACTAACACACAAACTTAACTACTACAGGTGATATCATTACAGTCCCACCAGCAGTGTATGAGCGTTCCACTCTCTCCACATCCTCACCAGCATTTGTTATTTTCTGTCTTGTTGAACTTTGCCATTAGTTCTGGAGCAAGATGGTATCTCATTGTTGTTTGGATTTGCATCTCTCTGATGGCTAATGATTGTGAACATTTCTTCATGTATTTGCTGGCTGCCTCTTTGGTAAAGTGTCTATTCATGTCTTCTGCCAATTTTTAAATTGGCTTGTTAATCTTTTTGTTGTTGAGGTGTTTACCATTTTTCTTTGAGGTTGCCTGTGATTTATAATGTTCTTCCCAAGTTTAGAACAGTCCATTCTATCTTGTAGTTGTCTTGACTTCCCTACCATTTAGAAGTTCTGTAACCGCACAATTTTTTTCTGTCTTTTTGTTTTGTAGTTGCCCTCATTTGTTAATTGATGTTTCTGGTTCCCTGTTTACAATCTTGTAGGCTTATTTACTTTGGATACTTCCATAACTGGATTGGTTTCTGGGTTATGTCATCATGTGTGTTAATGGTCAGCTATTGTTTGCTGTTGTTGCTTCTCTGTGCAAAGGACTCCCTTTAGCATCTCTTGTAAGGTTGGTCTGGTTTTAACAAATTCCCTTAATTTCTGCTTACCTGGAAATGTCCTAATTTCACCATCACATTTGAGGGACAATTCTGTTGGGTATATAATTCTTGGTTGGAAAATTTTCTCTTTCAGGATTTTATATATACCACCCCATTGTCTCCTCGCCTGCATGGTTTCTGCTGAGAAATCCAAACTTAGTCTTATTGGTTGCCCCTTGTAGGTAACTTTTTGTTTTTCCCATGCTACTTTCAGGATTCTTTCTTTGTCTTTGATTTTGGTGAGTTTGATGATGTTATGTCTTGGTTATTTTCTTTTGTTTTGGGTTAGTTGGATGTCTTGAATGCATATATCCTCATCTTTCATCATATCAGGGAAATTCTCTTCCAACAAATATTTAACAATTTTATCTGTCATTTTATTTGTCTCTTTCTGTTCTGGAATTCTGATTACATGTAGGTTATTCCTTTCGATGGTATCCCACGTGAACCTTAGGCTTTCTTCATTTTGTTTTGATCTTTTTTCTGAGTGATCACTTTCCAAAGAAGTATTGAGGTACTTGTCTTCAATCTCACTAATCCTGTCTTCCATTGATTCAATTCTACTCCTTTGCCCAGTCAATGTGTTATCTATTTCTGAAAATTTACTATTAATGTTCTGGATTTCTATGTGTAGATTTCCTATCATTTCTAATTTTTCATTTATTTTGTCATTTTGTTCTTGTATTGTCTTTTGAAATTGTTCTAGGGCTTTTTTTCTGTGTTTTCCTTAATTTTGTCAGTGTTTTCCTTGATCTCTCAGTCCATTGCATGTACCTAAATACAATTCTTTTGAATTCCTTATCAGGGAATTCCAATGCTGTTTCTTCTTCAGGGGCATGTTTTAGGTCTGTATCCTGAACCCTTGTTTCTCCTTCTTTATCTTGCTTCTTTGTGTGGACTGTGATGCTCTGTTGTTTCTGAGACATTGTGGCATTTTTGTGTTTCTATTTAATTGGTGATTGTATGTTGGAGTGACTTGCCCATGATTTTCATTTTATTTGTTTTGTTTGGATGTTATCTACATAAGCGGGGTACTTTGCTCCTCTATTTGCTAGTTGGCAGCACTTACACACTTAACACCTGTCTCCTTTCCCATTGTCGGCGTCCCATAAGTCCCTGCTGTCCTTGGCAAACGGAGCCTATTCTTAGGTCCCTGGAATCCAAATGAGAATGCTGTCACTTTAAAATCAAAGATGACCACCACTTGTAAATAATCAAAATGGCTGCTCCCTCTGGACAGCTGAAAGTCTACAGCTCAGGTTGTCTCCTTCCTTGCTGTTTCCCTTCCTAGTCATAGGCCACCAGCTCAGTTGTTCCTGCAGCCCTTGGTGACCTGGGCTGATGTTTACATCAATTCTCAGGTTCCAACACCACTTGGAAATATTCAGGCTGTTGGTCTTGTCAGAGTAGCTGACTATCCACTGCTCTGACTGTCTCCGTACTCACTGTTTTCATCCAGGTTTTTCTGCTAGTTGGTGCCTAATCCACTTCTGTACACTTCCTTTCAAAGCTCAGGACTCTAGGATTATCTTCTGTATCTCTGTCAGTTGGTTTCTCTTTTCTTTGTTGAAGAAGGTCACTGTTTTCATCCAGGTTTTTCTGCTAGTTGGTGCCTAATCCACTTCTGTACACTTCCTTTCAAAGCTCAGGACTCTAGGATTATCTTCTGTATCTCTGTCAGTTGGTTTCTCTTTTCTTTGTTGAAGAAGGTCACTGTTTTCATCCAGGTTTTTCTGCTAGTTGGTGCCTAATCCACTTCTGTACACTTCCTTTCAAAGCTCAGGACTCTAGGATTATCTTCTGTATCTCTGTCAGTTGGTTTCTCTTTTCTTTGTTGAAGAAGGTCTGTGTAGCTTGTTTGGCTATTCTGCTATTTTACTTCAAGTCCAATAAATTTGTTTTTAGTAGAATGTTTGTATTCTAGATTTGGCTGATTATTTCTTGTTGGTGTCATGTAACCTCCTCTATTCCTAATCTAAGAAAATTTCATATATTCTAGTAGTTGTATTAGTGGCTTTATTAGATTAGTTCGATCATTTCAGGCACAGTAGTGTCATAGCTTCTGCTATGTTTTCTCTACTGCAACATATCATGACATATAATAGTAATGATGTTAAGACTTATCAGGAAATCTGTGTGTTTTCAGCCAGATCCCTCAATAATAATGCACACCATAAAAGTTTTATCTAAGATTTTGGCATCCATTGATGATTATTTGTCATATTTATTACTGGTTCTATTTCTCTTGAGAATCCCAACTAAGCCATTGTTATAGCCTACATAATTTTCCTTTCCTTTATTATTCATTGGTATATAATAATGTGTGTTGTAAGTGGGCTTAAATTTTGGAAATCAGTCATCATTAGCTGCTGTTGGGGAAGTTCTGGGAGGAAAGTAAAGAGGTGGTAATGTAATGGGCTGCCCGTGTTGCTGGAGGAATTGTTAGCGGTGAACAGCAGGGTACTGACACAGCAGGATCTAGAAATACCTGTTATAAATTATCCAATCCTAGAAAATTCCTCTTGTGTTATTGCAGGGGTTAATCACCCCTCATGAAGGAAACAGGGAATAGTGTGGCCCCAGAGCAGTGAAAGGTGACAGACTAACATCACACTGTGTCCTGAGTTTCCTTTTATCCATTCATAGAACTCAAACAAGACCAGTTAATATGTGAGAGAGAGTGTCAACCATCCCTTCTGAACAATACAGACCTAGTTGTTACTGGATGTCCATGACTAGTCCAGAGCTGTTTCAGATACTTAGAGTGTGAGAAGGAGAGAATTTCCATTCTTAGCGTGCCTTTACATTTCAAGAAATGAGCATTTGAATTTTGTGTCTGAGTGTGTTTAATTTGACCCACTTTATTAGTGCTTCCAATTTTTCCCAGTTTTGAAGATTGTTGTGATACACATCTATGTATACTCATCTCTGCATTTGTTCAGTTTCCTCAGGATATGTTTTTGGAAGTATAATTCAAAAGTACACTCATTTGAAATGCTCTGGGTTGTCAGATAACTTTATGGGTCAGGAAGACAATTCTAAGTATAAATGAAGCATTCTATTCTCTTGTCAAATGTTCTTTTGTTTTGACAGGTCAAGGATATGTATTTCCAACTGAAATTAAGGGTGAGGTATAGGAGAGGGGATGGAGTGGCCTCTGAGAGCAAACAGAGGGAAAAAAGTAGTGGAACAAAAAAATGAGAGCATACAATGATGGTGCACCAGATTCTTCCCATTCCACTAGCCAAACTATCGCATGGAATCTGATCTGAGATGGGACCCTAGCAATTCAATGACAAATTTCTGTTTGCTAAACTTTTGAAAGAAAGGAATGAAGTACATAGGGACTTGGGGTATCTCTCTAAAATAAAATAGATTTTAAGAGATGAAAAAGCTTAAGAACCATTGTTGTCAAGGCAAAGAAATCTTAAACAATGCAATATATTATAAATCTTCTTTATTTAGCAATTACAAGAGAGCAAAGAGCAGAGAAAACATCACAGGGATACAGACTCTGTACATTGTAGAAATCATCACCTATGATTTCATGGCTACTTCAAAGGATCATTACAATACTTTTAAGATGGCAAACTCTTGGGCCAATGGAGATCAAAGGAACATTATCCTTTTCTGGAGTATAATCCAGACTGAGTTTCTATAATTAACAGTGGCAGATGGAATTCTCTTGAAATGTTCAGACTTAAATGCAGGACATTGGAGCCAAGAGATTAATAATTTAGGAACAAAGTGAAGCATCACATGTGATTAAATTATGATGTAAAATCAGAGTTTGACATTCTAATGGTGAGCAAAGAAAGTTAGGTGGAGTAGGTGTAGGCAGAGAGATGAAAGGAGGACACTAAGCAACATCAGCTCTAACTCACAGACCAAGAGAAGACCAGGGGGCAGGAGAGAAGAAGCAATGTGAGGAGAGGGCTGTGCAGATGGAGAGAGGCCTGAGACATTGTGGAACTGGAGCTGGTAGTAGAACTTCAGTGGTTGTAGCTCTTCCTGCTGGAGGATGAGGTGGTGGTGTATTTGATGGTGGAACTGCTGCCGCCAGAGGAGCTGAGGCCACCTCCAATGCCTCTGCCACTGCCAGAACTGAAGCCACCTCCAAGGCTGTGACCACCGCCATAGGAGTAGCTGCTGCCTCCACCCAGGCCTAAGCCACCACTGACACCACTGGAGCTGCCATAGCCACTGGAGACGGTGGACTGCACCACAGCTGTGAGGGAGGAGAACAAGGAAAGGATGATGCATGGTCAGACTCCATCTTCTACTGTGAATCCAAGCATAAAAACAAAGATAAGGCAGGAAAGCATGCAAAGGTACTTACAGATGTTTACTTGTCCAACACCTTCCCCATTCAACCTAGGAGGAGAGGAAATACAGGGAAGGTGAGACCTCAGGAATCCATTACCTGGATCAGTGTGGGATGCTCTATCTAAGGAACACTCCATTGAGAAAGGATCCTTTTGATTGTTTTCCAAGAATGGCAGTATAGCCATGACCAGATTGTGTTAAAATTGTGCTTATGGACTAGACATCTTAGATTATACCTGGAAATTTGGGAAACTTGTATGAGTTACCCACCTGCACTCCTCGCCTTCCAACAGCTTCCTGTAGGTAGCGATCTCCACATCCAGGGCCAGCTTGGTGTTCATTAGCTCCTGATACTCCTTCAGCATCCGGGCCATGTCCTGCTTGGCCTTCTGCAGGGCATCTTCCAGCTCTGTTAGCTTGTTCTGGGCATCCTTGAGGGCCATCTCCCCACGCTGCTCAGCATCAGCAATAGCAGCCTGCAAGTTGGCACACTAGAGGGGGAAAATAAGCAGAAATACCTTGTAATCTTGTTCTTCAGAGCAGACTAACCGAGTTAATTTTCTTTCCCAGTGTTAAGAATTTTACATCCCAGAATTGAAGACTGTTCCTATCTGTCCTTTCCTGTCTTATAAAGTTGGGGAACGACTTAACAAAAATCCATCCGTTTTCATGCTAATCACTTTCCTTGAGAGTGGATAGTGATTGATGAATGACACTACAGTGGACTTAAGACCAAGGGACATTGGAAAAAAGAGTCCCCATTATTTATTTTGTAGGATCTCTGATGATGTAGTGCCTAAGGCATTTGACTGCTAACCAGAAAGTTGGCGGTTCAAACCCAGCAGCCACTCCACATAAGGAAGACTGGGCAATCTACTCCCATAAGGATTTACTACCTTGGAAACCCAGTGGGGGTTGCTATAAGTTGGAATCAACTCGATGGCAGTGAGTTTGGGTTTTTTAATTATTTATTTTGTAGTCTTGTCTATAAAATCGAAATGGGACCCTTTTTAAGATTTCATGTGGATGCCACATTAACTTATACACAATTACAAACATCTTAAATTGAGGTAATGGTTTTGCACATCTGACTCTTACAATCTTGCCTTCTCCCACCTCTCAATCTCACACATGTAGGCAACAATGCTCTTTATCCTCCGTTTTGCTCCACTTTCCTTTTCATGTAAAATCTTGAGAGCATTTGCAACAATATTCCTTAGGATTTTTGTGTTCTTCCTTCCCAACATGTTACTTTGCAATTTCCAAATCAATTATTCTATTTGTGTAAATCTTATTTGATTGCCTCTGACCTTTATTTTTTGAGCAGGTGAGACTATTTCTATCCACGTTTGTATCCAACTTTTGGGTTAAAACCTCTTTTCTAATCAATAATACTCTCTCAGGGCAGCCACTGCATCTTCTCCTCTCCCCTGCTGTTCACCCAGTGCCCAGGAACTTGCCAATGATGGTTGATGACTGCCTGTCTAATGGTCTGGGAAGGAAATATTGCCTTTCCTCATCATTGACCTGCCTTCACCATACCTGCTTCTTGACGTGGTCGATCTCAGACCTCAGCCTCTGGATCATGCGGTTGATCTCAGAAATTTCCTGCTTGGTGCTGCGCAGGTCATCCCCATGTCTGCCTGCCATGACCTGAAGCTCCTCATACTGTGGTACAGATGGAGATAAACAGCATATATGCTTTTTTCCATGGTAAAAATGGCTTTCAATTCTCAGTCAGACATTTGAAAAACTGAAAACCAATGCTTTTTCATCAAGGGACTGTAGAAAAATTTCATATTGCACACTTATTAAATATGGTACAACTGAATTACAGAGCATCCTTATTATGGGACAACTGTTGGTCTTGTTCTTTTCTGGGCCAGTGATACTCTGTACAGTGTTTCTGAGAGCCAACATTCAGGATGAATCTAGAAGCAATGATCAGTACGCCTTCTCTATCATATGATTCTTTTACTTAATAAACTTGGACATAAATTATGTAAAAATCTACTAGAATTGTGCAAGCACATACATTTTTTGAAATGACTGCAGTTTTCCCAGAATACTTTTCTCAGATGAAGTTTGCAGCCTGATGGGACCTCAACAAGGAGAGGGGCATGGAAATTCCTCACAGGCAACTCTACTCACCTTGGTCTGGTACCAGGACTCGGCCTCAGCCCGGCTCCTCTGAGCAATCTCCTCATATTGGGCCTTGACTTCAGCAATGATGCTGTCCAAGTCCAGATTGCGGTTGTTGTCCATGGACAGGACCACAGATGTGTCTGAGATGTGTGTTTGCATTTGAGACAGTTCCTAGAGAACATATGATTATAAAATCATCTTTTCCAGGGACATCCATAGGAGATCCCGACCTAAGAACTTCCCACTCCTTGCTGAACCACACTAGACTAAGTAAAATGGGCTAGAGATACTTACTGCATCATAGAAGACTTTCAGGAAATTGATCTCATCTGTAAGACCATCTACCTTGGCTTGCAGGTCAACCTTATTCATGTAGGCAGCATCCACATCCTGGGGGAAAACCAGTGACTTGGATTAACTAAGCCTTTATGCCCAGCTGATCTGATTTTCAGGCTCTCTATCTATTATCTTCTCCAACTGGGCAGGGACACAAACTCCCCTCCTTCAGCAAAGAAACTTAAAGCCCTTATCTTAAACAACCCACCTTCTTCAGAGTCACAAATTCATTCTCTGCTGCTGTGTGCTTGTTGATTTCATCTTCGTATCTAGAGCAAGAAGAGAATATAGTATAATTGAGCCAGTGGGTATGATGATATAGAAAAGGCAGTCTGGAATCCAATGCATTCCATAACGTAATATTTGCACATTGAGTTTTCCTATCACAGAGATCCTAAAGGATGATTCTTATGCTCCCTAATTTTTTTCTCTTTTTACTCATCCCGTCCATCCATTCCATATTCCCACTTTGTCCTTCCATGGTATATGCTTTGCTAAGGAATTTTGTCCACAACCATACCTGGTCACCCATTAATTCTGAAATGTGTTCTTCAGAAAACTGACTGCATTTAACTTTATCTTTAACTCACTTCTTCTTGTAGTCCTCGACCAGATCCTGCATGCTTCTGAGCTCTGAGTCCAGGCGGCCTCTGTCACCAAGGATACTGTCCAGCTGCCTACGGAGGTTGTTGATGTACTGCTCGAACAAGGGCTCCAGGTTCTGCCTCACGGTCTTGGTGCCCTGCTCCTGGAGCAGGGTCCATTTGGTGTCCAGGACCTTGTTCTGCTGCTCTAGGAATCGCACCTGGAGAGGAAACAAGGTGGTCATTTGCAGACAAAAGGAAGAAGAGGAAAGTGTCAGTGTTCTCAGGTCTCCAAGAGGCCTGAGAAGTCTCCATGGTGCTGGCCTGGGAGAAGCACCACAGGGGCTCATGCTGATAATCCTGCTCCCATGTTTTTCCTTCATACCTCACAGATTCCACTAGAGAAACTCCCTTATTGAACTTTGAGCTTTTCCCACCCAACAAGCTATGGGGCCTATCAGTGATTTTCAACACTCTCTATTCTCTTGACAAGCAGAAACACAAATCTTGTTTAAAGATAGTATTTACAGGATATATTTTTCAAAATTTTATTTTACCTAGGAGGAAAGAAAAGGGATGTTAATGGTTGTAGAATTATTATTTTGGAATTCATCTCCCCATTTTGTACATAAGTATTCTTGAAAACATCCTTGATTGATAGTCATCCATTGTTTCTAAAATAACTTCCGTTTTCTGTAGGTTATATAAATGCTTCTGCAGCTGGACAGAACATTCTTTTCTTTTTCTTTTTTAAGCAATTTATTTTAATTTTGGTGAAAACATATAACAATTCACTAATTTTTATATATACAATTAAATGACATTGATTAGCGTTTTCAATTGGTGAAATCCTGAAGCTGTGTTTTTCTATATTATGCCTCCATCATTAATATAAACTTTTTTTATCTCCTCCCACTCAGAGTCAAGAGCTCTTTGTAATTGGCCATTTCCTTGTAATTGCTTAGAACTTTCTGTGTTAAGTGAACACATTGTTCTTTTCCCTTTCTAAGTTTCAAGATTATCACAAGTTGATAACTCTTCTTAGTCAGGAACTGGGTTCATATAAGGCATTAATTGTTTCAAAATTATTTGCTCCACTTCTACCTGTTGTCAGCATGGGCCCAGTGTGCCATTCTTGTGGAATGCTAATCTGTGTCACATTCTCCTCCTTCCAAAGTCTCCCCCAGCAGGAAGCTCATTTTTTCTAGTTATGAGACTCTGAAATACCTGGTGAATTAAAAGTCCTCATGTCTCACCTTGTCAATGAAGGAGGCAAACTTGTTGTTGAGGGTCTTGATCTGTTCCCTCTCCTCAGTCTTCACCCGCTGGATGGTGGGGTCGATTTGCAGGTTCAGAGGAGTGAGGAGATTCTGGTTGATAGTGACCTCTTGGATGCCTCCAGGAGGGCAGACAGGGAAGCCAGAGCCCCCATAGCCACCACCAAAGCCAGCTCCACCACCAAGCCCAAAGCCACTACCAGCTCCACCACCAAAACCGAATCCGCTCCCAACTCCTCCTCCAAAGCCAAAGCCACCTCCAACTCTGCTGCCATATCCACTTCCCATGACACAGCTGCCTCCTCCAATGGAGATCCTCTTGGAGCCCCCCAGGCCATAAAGGCTCCTGCTGCCAAAGCCAGCTCCCCCACAAGCCCCACCGAAGCCACCACTGCCCCTGGAGCGGGACACAGAGACGCTGCTGAAGCCTGAGCGGCAGACTCCAGGGACTCTGGCTGAGGTGGTGCTGAACCCACGGTGGCTCATGCTGGATCTGCTAGACATGGCTCTCTAAAGACACGAAGGTGAGGGAAGAGTGAGAAGCTGGAGTGTAGAGCTGAGGAGGAAAGTGCAGAGAAGGTCCTCCCGGCAGTACTTTATATATGGTGAGAATGGGCTGGGCTCAGTCCTGGAAGGTGAGCTTGCAGTTTGAGAAGGGCTGAACTTGACAAACACTGAGATCACACTCAGATTATTAGAAAAGTTATGAAATGTGAAGATTGCTGTTTTAGTTTCCTTTAGTCAGGGAAAAATTCTCCTGCCTTCTAACTTGATCACAGTACAATATGACTATTCTCAATTCACTGTAGTCAGGAGTTAGTCACTGTCTCTAACAAAGATTCAACATGTTATGACTGTGTATCAGTATCTACTGAGTGATCTCTTCTTTCCAACGTGGTCTTACCTATCAGCTAAGAAATTGTATACCAGATGCTATCCATTGCATATATCCTAACAGGAAGATCATTGTTTTTTCAATAAACATAGACGTTAAGCTTAAATTTTTTGTTTTATATTTTTAAGCAGCTACAAAAGCAGGGGGAAAAAAGGGGGGGACTCCTTTACACCTTCTTTGTATTTTCTATAAACTGATAATTAAATCTAGATGCTACATAAGTTTATCTTACATATTTACTTTTTTCCACACATTGGTGTAATTGAATGTCTATTTATAATACTGCATATTTTAATTTACACATTTATTCAAAAATTTTAAAGTTTAACAAGTACTACACAAGAAACAAAATACATGCTTAAGGCTATTCCCCAATCACTCAGTTCCCTTATTTGGAAGAAAGCACTCTTACTAATACCTTGTATGTCATTCCAGTAACTTACTTTTTTTTTATTTTAATATGTTTATATCCTGGAGCACTTGATCTCTGTCTATATAAACCTACCTACCCAAGCAAAGAAGTCAAGTTGCTTGGAGGATATATGTGCCTATGTTGTCATTGGCAGGTGCCAGCGAGTCAGTTCCAACTCATAGCAACCCTATGTACAGCAGCATAAAATACTGCCAGGTCTTGTGCCATCTTAACAATCATTGCTATGATTGAACTCATAGTTGCACCCACTGTCAATCCATCTAATTGATGGTCTACTTCTTTTTCACTGACCCTCTACCAAGCATGATATCCTTTCCCAGGGACTTGGCCCTCCTGATAAAATGACCAAATTAAGAGAGACAAAGTGTCGCTATCCTCACATACGTCTTTCTACAATCTGGGTTCTCTCTGTGTGTACAATCTCTCATATATATTCTCTTTTCTTTAGGGTTTCTAATTATGCTCATGTTGATTCCACTTTTTCTTTCATATTTATATTTTCCCTTGAATCTCTTTTCACACTCTCAGATCCTCATGACATACCACTCATTCTTCTCAATCTTCTCCTACATGTCCATTATTGTGCATGCAGCAATGTCTATCCCCCTTTGAGCTTTCAATTTGGCCTTCATTTCTGAGATAGCTTTTTTTTTTTCCTTTGCTTTTTTTTCTGAACTCAGCAATGTAATGCTTTATCTTTTATTGTTTCAGTATATTGTCCCTTCATTCTCTTTTTTTTTTTTTTCCATAAAGGTAGTTATTTCATTGGAATTTTTGTTAACGATTCATAGTGACTTTTTTCTGGTAACTGTTCTTTATCTGCCTTTTGTTTTTGCTATTCCCTTCATTGTTTGAATGTATAATATAGTTTGTGGGTCCTGAGATTGTTCCTTTCTGGTTAGTACTCATCTTTGGATAAGGTAAACTTCTCCTAGACCAGCCATTTGCAGAAAATACTATACGAGGGAGAAAACGCATTGCTGTTGAGTTGAATTTTGACTCATGGCAACCCTTTAGGACAGAGTAGTACTACCTCTTAGGGTTTCCAAAGCCCTAAATCTTTATAGAAATATACTGCCACATCGTCCTTCCATGGAGTAGCTGGTAGATTTCAACCACCAAACTGTCGGTTGGTTAGCAACTGAGCACTTAAACACTGTACCACCAAGGCTCCCAAGGGGAGAAATTGGGACCATATTCCAAGAGTGTGTGAGTAATTCTTTTAATCTTTAATCCTTGACAGCTAATAAAGGTCATTGCAGGGTGATTTACAATTCACAGCATCTCTGCTTTCTTTCTCTCACCAACAAATTGTGCTGCAAATTAGCCTTACCTCTGATTCATAATTCAACCCAGACTTTATATTTTTTTGAGAATTCATGACAAATGGAGTCTTGCCATCAGCCCATAAGCCCAGATCTCATTATTGCAAACATGGGATTCTTGAATTTAGACCTGAGGAAGTGCCATTACCATTGAGTTTGCATGAGTCACATGAGTCAACAATGCTTGGCATGTATTAAAGCCTCAATGTTAGACTTTGTTTGGTTTTGCTTTATGCTTACATTGTTGTCTGGTTAACTTTGTTTTTGAGAGTCTTCTTCACTTGGTTTGTCTTAGATCTTCAGATACGGGCATTTCTCTCAGTTTTCCTTACATCTTTGATTATATTTCTCTATTTCTTTGAAAAATTCTTCCAATTTTAAAAGACTTAAAGATATTTTAGTTTTGGTGCTTGAAGGTGGAGTTTACTCTATGTTCATTGTTCTTGATTTTTGGTAATTTCTGACAAGAAAGGGGAAATGCTTCACTTTCCTCTACTAGGTTAAAGTTAGAAGTCTCCCATTCACACGTTCATGTGTAAAATATTATGCTATTTAAATTTTAACCTAATAAATTAACATAGAAATATTATATTTTCCTCTTTCACTTTATGAAAGCAATGCCAATTAATGAAGATATCATTGTCCTCAGTGCCTATTATCTTCCCTAGAGCCATATTGTGAGTTATCTGAATGTTTTCTAGAGCACATTGTGTTTACTGTCACAGGAAATTCAATTCCAATGCATATTAAAGTTATCCTCCACAGGTAGCAATATACTTTATTACTACATTATTTAAAATCTTAAATACATAAAATTAATGAAAATACTATGAATTTACATGTTCCAATCACCCATTTTAAAAATTTGCAACCATTTTCTCAATTTTATTTCATCTAATTCCACTTCTCTTTTTCTGTTGTTGGAGTATTTGAAAGGAAATCCAAACATTAAATTATTTTACTTGTAACTATTTAGTAAACCTACTTACTTAACGTTGCCATTGATTTGTGTAGTAGAATTGTGCTCCATAGGGCTTTCAAGGGCTGATATTTTTGGAAGTAGATCACCAGAGCTTTCTTCTGAAGAAGCTCTGTGTGCACTTGAACCTCCAAACTTTTGGTTAGCAGCTCAGTATGTTAGTCTTTTGTACCATCCAAGGACTTATTCTGTATATATTTCTAAACAATATGATTCTTTAGTCTAATTGCATAACAATAGTATAACTATGTGATGGTTAATCCTCTATGTTAACTTGGCTAGGCTATGACACCAGTTGTTTGTCAAATACTAGTTTAGATGTTTATGTGAAGATATTTTGTAGATGTGGTTAACATTTATAATCACTAGACTCACACAGACTCTTACAGAAGAGATTGTTATTGTAGTTAGTTGTCAATGAGACATCTTTGATTCATGGTGGCTCGTGTATAAGAACAAAATGTTGTCTCATCCTGCACCATCGTCTTGATCATTGGTATGTTTGAGTTCATAGTTGCAACTTGTTGTGTCAACCCATCTCATTGACAGTACCTTTAATGAACATTCTAGCTTCATTCAATCAGTTAAAGGCCTTATGAGCAAAAAGTGAGGTTTCTGAGAGGTATATGAATTCTGCCTCAAGACATTCTACCAGTTTCCAGCCTGACACAACCTATGGATTTAGAACTTGCCAGCCCCCCACAATCACATGAGCCAATTCCTTAAAATAGATCTCTCTCTTTCTCCATTTCTGCCTCTGTATCTATCTCTATATATTTATATCCTATTGGTTCTGCTCCTTTAGAGAATGCTGACTAATACAATCTATTAAAATCATCATTCCTTAGTGAAATATAACACCTATTTCATATTCAAATATCTCTGATTATCTCATAGATATCTTTTTGTGACTGTTTTACTTGAAGCAACATCCACACTAGGTTCACATATTGCACTTGACTCCTCTCCTAAGATTCATTTGTTCTATAAAAGACTCCTTCCTTTTTTTTTTTTTTTTTAATTTTTATTATGATTTGGGTGAAAGTTTACAGAGCAAATTCACTTTCCATACAGCGGTTCACACACACATTGTCTCATGACTTTGACTACAATTTACCGATGCAACAGCTTCCCTCCTACTTCCTCCCCATAGTTACCTCTTCCCTGTGTCCTTCCCTCCATGCACTCCTGTCCCCGAAGTGTCTCCCTGTGCATACACAGCCCTTCTATTCCCCCATGATTTTTCTCTCCGGGGAGTGTATCTACCTAATGTAAATGTTCACCCTATATGCCTGTCTTTTGTTTGGCTGAAAGCCACAGGAGTGGGTTCAATTCCAGACCTGAAGGGCAGCTAGGGGCCATAGTCTCAGTGGTTCCATCAGGCTCTATCAGACCAACCTGGTTCCCCCCTCCCTTTTTTTTTAAATGATTTTCTGTTTTGTTCTACCTTGTTCTCTCACTCTATCCAGGATCTCCTACATAGATCCCCCTCTGAGTGGTCAGGCACCATCTAGTTCTTCTGGTCTCCTAGTTGTATAAGCAGAGGATCACACAGTGCACCAGTCACTTGGACTAATTGTCTCCAATGCGTCTTTAGTTTCCTTCATTCTTCTTTGCTCTGGACAAGGAGATATCTAACGTTGTATCTAGATGGCTGCTTACAAGCTTTTAAGATTCCAGTCACTACTCACCAAAGTAGGATGTGGAACAATATTTTTGTATAGTAGGTTATGCCAACTGAGCTTGATGTCCCCTGTGACTATGGTCCCGAGTGCACAGGTCCAACTACTTGCTCTCTCTGGGTAGCTGGCTGTGGCCAAGAAGTGACTATAACCTTGTCCCTTGTCAGCTCTACTATATACCTTGGAATTCTTACAGAACATACAAATGCACTACTAGAATCATTGTCTGCCGACCCCGTATATGGTCTTGGGCACACTCCCCCTG